CCCTTTAAATTTGTTTTTCTCACAGTCAATAAGATTAAATGATAAATCAAAGCATAATCTTACTCCTAACAAGTAAAATTCTTTGGTAGTCTGTAACAAATAATATTATTAAAAAAAAAATAAATGACAATATTTAATAAATTATTTTACTTACTCGATTAAAGACACATCTTATTTGAAGTTTTTTACCTAACATTATCTTAAAAGCACCCTCAAGCGCTTCTGTTAAACATTTTTTTCCCGGATTCATAGTCAAATTACTCAATAAGTGATGCATATTGAATTTATCATAAAGTTCAAGTGATTTATTGAAATAATCCAATTGATTATTTATCCCATCAATTTTCGCTCCGCAAGTCCCATACTTTATCCACAGATTTTTCATAGTATGATTATTATACCCACTAACCCATTTAGTGTCCAAATCAGTTATAATTGGTGACAATTGCTTTGCGTTGAATTCTACTGAACAATTACAAAATGCAGGCCAAGTTTTTTGTTGTAACGAAGGCCATAATCCACTGATTAACCATTTATTAACGTTACAGATCGGATTTGTATGATTCCATGATTTTCTCGTCGATAATATCCATAGCAAAGTGTTGGAGTCCACGACTGCTGAAGTACTAATCTGTCAAATTCATAAGTACGATTGACATTTTTTGCTCGAGTATTTTCACATATTTGGCGTTTTTTTACTCTACTGCGGCTGGAAATAAAATATTTTGATTTGTTTCGTTTTTAAGTAACTGATAAGACAATTCATTACTTTTTAAAACTGATTGAAATTAATAATCATCAATTTATCAAGTTTATTTTGATAATTATCCGAATTTTCTTACCGAGAAATTATTATTCAATAAATTTACTAGAAATTTGAATAGCGCGCCACGCGCGCGCTTTAATTTTAACCAATGATTAATCGTATCCCGTTTTTTTACAAGTTTCAACCAATAATAAACTTTTAAACTTTATTGTATTTTTTATTTAGAGGATTTAAAAAATTTACACTAAAAAAAAAAATAACTTGAATCAAAAAAGGAATTTTAAAGATTTTAATTGTCTTGAATCAAGACGAAAAATTTTTAAATTAAAGAAATCTTACTTAACTTAGAAAAAATTTCACGTCAATAAACTTAGTGTTAAAAATTTTTGTCTTAGATATTTAACACTTTTATTTATAAATTTAACATTTATTCTGTTAAATCAACACAAAGAAGTGTTAAATATTTAACATAATAATTTTAATTTTTTTACGCAATGACGCAAAATTTTTTACTGTCCTTAACAATTTTTCTCGACTAAGTTTTTAAAAATTATTTTCTTCATTCAAGTTAATTTTTATTTCTATATAAAAATAAAAAAAACTCGGCTTAAAATTTTAGCACAAACCTATAAACACATGTGAACCCAATTATAAGAGTAAAAATAATAATATAATTGTCATAATTCATTATTTATTTTCAACAAATAGATC